TTTTTGGTCATTATGAGAAATTAAGGTTTCTAAAAGTTAATTTCAAATTAAGCTGGAAAAAAATTGTATGGTTTTAATAATAGAAGGCATAAGGCATGGAGATGCAATTTTGAAGGACAGGGATTGAAGGTGAGCTACTTTAAAATGGTTATGTCTAAAGGGATAAGAAAGTTTGTGAAAGTTGCAGAAAGGATTGTGAAGGTTTGAAATTCGTGAGGAAAGCAAGCTCAGGCTCCAGGACCCCTTCCTCCACATAATTTCTCTCTGGTGACATTCTTGGATGACTCTGGCGGTACGTGGAGTTGTTTCCATTATACTCTCTCTTGCCCCGTCGGTGTGGGGAAACCCACCTGTCAGCTGTGAGATAAATCCATCCTCGTGATGCATTTTGTCAATGCTGAGAAAGAAGGTAAGGCTGCCCCCTGAACACGGAGTCACCCTACATGACTGTCGCCAGGTGACACCTGGCATACAGGGTCCAGTGAGTCAGGAACCGATCACCCCTGACTTCCAAAGGGACCCATCCCTTCCCTTTTGTTTCGTGCTCTGGTCATCGGTTTAAGTCCACCCTCAGGGCACAGGGTAAACACATCCACAGGCAGACGTGGAGTTGAGTCCCCTCTCTGAGCGGGGTAAATCCATTCCCAGGGCATCTTGTTGTGAAAGTTTTGATATTATATGTGAAGATACTTGGTATTAAAATTGGTACCCTGGTCATTAGTAAGGCCATCCTCAGGGCATGAGGTAAACATCCACGGGTCAAACAGGCTCTCTCTCTCACACATGCTTTCTCTCTCTCTGCTCGTGTGCCTCTCAAGTGGGCTTTCTATTGAGTCCCCTGTCTGAGTGGGTTAAATCCCTTCCCAGGGCACCTGGCTGATGCTCTCACCATTGCTAAGGCCACGCTCAGGCAGAGGGTAAACACATCTATCTCTCTGTTTCTCTGCTGGTGTGAAGTATAACTTCTTGTCCTCCATCTGGAGCATAAATCTTCTGTTACCAGGTGTCTGACCTTCCAGGGGCCAAAGCAGCCCCGCCCACGCGCTTCCTTGCTGCTAGACTCCCTGGAGCCAAGGAGACTTTACTTTCACCACTTATTAACAGTTCTTAAAGTCCTTTTATTGAGAATTTCAACAGGCCTTTTGCTTGGCATTTAGGACCTTCCATTGCCCTTCCAGTCTTCTTAAAAAGTTGTAAAAAGCAAGTAAGAGAAATCTTATACTTTCTCTAAAAATTTAGGAACTCAAATTATGTGTATGGTCTTTATGTGTTCAGTCTTCATGTGTGTGGTCTTTACACAACATATATTTGTCTGTGTGTTACATGTGATGTGTTTTCTGCCTCCGGATGGCATAATGAGGGTGTAATATTTTATTGGCCTAAAAACTTAAGTACTTACATAAATTAAGCAGGATCCTATGTTCTGGACAAAGTATTTGATATTAAAACTGGTTTAAGTCTGATTAATGTCTTTTCAGGTTATTATACAAAAAGTTTATGTTTTAGTTTTTTGAATAAGTATATTTGACAACCCTCCCAAAGTTTAAATTTTAAAAACTGAGAAATGACTTTGAGTTATTCCAATAGGCCCGTGGAATACCTCAAGGATTTATTCTCTCTCCATAGAAAAGTTTTTGAACTAATTATGTCTATTTAATATACTCAAAATTACATGGGAAGCTTTGTCAAACAGAATAATAACTATTTTATTTGTATATATATAGTGTTATCAAAATATATTTTCTAGAAATGTCAACCTGCCCCAGGGAGGAACTTGCTAAGATTCAAAATCAAATTCAAACAGGAAATTCTCAGGGGTAACAGGTGTCCTGTCAATGACCGTGGACAAGCCAACTGTGGTGGTTCCCTGTGAGGATGTCAAGCAGTCGTACTCTGGGTATTTGTAACCCACACATTGGGAATTTATCGATTGTTTCCAATGCTCAATGCACACTTCTGATAAATCCTTTACAGTGTTTTAAAACCTTGCATACTGTTAGGTCTTTATATATACATATTAAAATTATGTGTTAAATCTAAAAATATGGGCTTTATATTGTTCTTTTATGTCATTTCATAGTAATATTACTTATAAAGAAATGTTTATCTTGAAATATTATATTTTACAAAGAAGCAAAGTTCTTTATCAACTGCATTTTAATAGAATCTACAGGCGTAACATTTTAAATTTGGTCATTTATAAACAGTCACTGTTTTACTCTAATGACTTGCAAATGTATCTTTGAACAGGTTCATGTAAAGGACTCTGACTTACTCTAAATTATAGGAATCTATGTAGGTCATATCTTCGAAGTAAATAACAATTTACAGAACCCTTAGAATAACTGAATTCATGGAAATACTGGCAAATAATCAAGACAAACAAACTGTTTATATGGAACATAATGAACTAAAGATAACTGTTATTCTTATGACTTTGTTAAAAATATTGTTAATTTTAAATCTTTTTGTTTTCTGGATATAAGGAAACTTTTCTCCTAGAACAATTTGTAAATTATACCCTCATAAGGAATACTGAAACATTAATTTTTTTTTCTCGTTACCTAATCCCTCCAGAATTCAGCAACTCTTAACAAGTATTATTTTCATTTGCATAAACCCAGTAAGAATCTGTTCTCTTTATAATAGCAGTAGTTTCCAAATATGGTCTTATTAATCAAATTTTTGTCTGGAATGTCATGATCTAAGGAGTCATGCCTGGACTCTCGATGCGACTAGAAAGACTTAAGGAATTGACTTTCAAAGCTGCCAGTAAGAGCCCCTTCGAAACAATGGCCTGGTACTTTCCTTGGTCACGTGGTTCCTGGCAGTTTTTCCAGGTAAGGAATGAAGGTTGCTTTCATGAAAGATGGCAAGGAAGGAAACGCTAGACATTTGGGGGACCTCAAGAAATCCACTCAAGCTAACAGGTATTTCAGGCAAAGCCAGATGGCAACCGTGTGCCTTGGTTTCTGGGCGCTGGGAGGCTGACTAAAGCTCAGTCTGAAGGTTCCTTGTAAAATTCAGCAAAGCAGATTTGAAAGAGTCTAATATGATCAGTTACTATTCTTGTTGTATTCATGCAAGTAATCAGACCAAATTGAAGCTGGACTTAATGCAGTCTGTTTGGTAAAATGAGGGCAATTTTACGGAGAGAAATTGTGCTTCAATGGAAATCACAGTGTCCAGTTGTCACCTGCAAACTGACTGGATCCTAGCGTTTCCGCTTTCCTTCTAATGTTTCATTTTTTTCCCTTTTATCCTTTGACTTGGAATTATTGAAAACCACTAATACAGTGTCAGCCATACAGAATTTACCTACTTCTCTGCCTCTCCCTTTTTGGGACTTAAGGCCATTGTTTGGTCCTGGTTTTCCTGGCTAATCCCCTTCTTAGGACCTGTAGCAGCCTTTTTCTTTATTCATCTTTTTAGGCCATGTTTCCTCAAATATCTCATATCCTTTATTCACAAGAGTGTCCAGACTCTGGAAGATTCCCTCCACATATGGCCTCCAGACACAGCTCTTGCTTTTTGGGCTGTACAGTTCCCACCCTCTTCTCCTTATTGACCCATAGCCGGACCCACAGGGTTAGAGAGTGGTACTGGAAGGACCACTTAAGGAACCTACTGAACTGATTTGGCTGGCGCATGGTGAAAAGTAAAACCAGGATTCTGGGGCCTGACAATCAAAATGGGATAAAAGGATGGGCTATGAGATGGGAGAGTGATCTGAGACCTCTCACCCTCCACGAGCTTTCATTCACTCACACCTGTTTCCATATGACCTTTAAACACTGCATGGTAGACATAAAAATGGCTACAACCCCTTTCCTCTCTGTCCTCGATGCTCCCTGTAATGTAATTCTGCAGCTCCTCCACCAAGAGGTAGAATCGATATCTGTAACCTCCTGAATCTAGGCTAGTCACATAACTTGCTTTAGCCAACAGAATATGATGGAAGCAATGTTGTGACATGACAGTTCTGAGAACTGACCTCACGGAGCTTCCGTTCTCTCTCAGGACCCTGCCAACCTCCATGTAAACAAGCTCAGGGTAGCCTGCAGGAGGCTGAGACACATGTCTTAGTCACTGTCCTCTCTCCAGCCAAGAGGCAGCGGACTTCCAGAAACAAAGCCTAGCTCATCTGGGCCTGGAGCTACAGCAGGAGCTACATAAAATAGTCCCATCTGAACTAGAAGAATCACAGGGCTGAGTCCAGCCCAAATCACCAACCCACAGAATTATGGGATGAAGAAACAACCTTTGAGTCAGTAAATTGAAGCTTAAATTTCTGGCCATAAATTTGGGAATGGTTTGTTATGCAGCAACAGCTATCTGCTACACACTGTAAATAACAGTATCACCACCATGTGAGGGAGTGATGTCACGCAAAAGCCTAAGAAGCTTTTTCAGTTAAAAAGTATATTACTTTCCTAGCTCTAAAAGCAGTTTTCTACCCCTGCAGAACTATTACCTCACAACAATCACATTCAGGTTCAAGGAGAGATGAGAGAAAAAAATAGAGCACTAAGAAAGCTAATATGTTATAGCTATGAGCCAATTTTAATTACAACACACTGCAGGGGACTGTCTGCATACCTTGGCTGAAATGACACTCTGTTATGGATACTGCTTGAAACAAGCAGACCATCAACAGAGACCTGGAAATAGTTTCAGTACAAAAAAAAAACAAACAAACAACAAAAAAAACCCCAACCCAAAACAAAAACCCCACTAAACCTTTTTATTTTAACAGTATTTGGCATATGATTACAGATCTATTCCCTGTCCATGTTCTTAGCAAAAGAACATGGATTGATCTCTTATTTTTTTTTAAGAGATGGAAACATCTTAAATCATTTCAGAGAGGGGGAAAAGTGTGAATAAATAGACATAGAATCATAAGTACTGGTAGAGATGCATCTAACTTAGAAGTGTGAATATCATTTCAAAAATAATGTCAAAGACTCACTTTGTTTTAAAAATGAAAGAGAACTTACCAGTAAGACTCTGTGTGGCCGACCGTTTTCAGGTTTCAAGTGGGGGAATGAATCTGAAATAGAATTGAACAAAACATTTCATAAGTAAACCACATTTGGAAAGGGTGTGCTTTTGATCCCAAGTGACTGACATAATGTTAAGTGTTATTCTTTTAGTTAAAGATTAGCAAAGCTTTTTCTGGCTCCTGATGGAATAGGGAGAGTTTTTCGCCTACATATTTCAACTTCCTGAATAGAGAGCATTCTCTCATCAACTTCAGGGAGTGCTGAAAGGCTGAGCCCAGGATAACTATAAATGGTAGTGTTTTCATCTAAACCCCTCCAAGTCAGCAGAAGCCTCCCTATTCCTTGAACTTGCCTTGGCCCCTCCATCCCCTCCTGCTAGGACCATGTCATGGCTCCCTTTATGTGGGATCAATTAAAAAATGGCTGGCCCAGGGTTGAGTGTAACTTGAATGGCAACTGGAGCTGTGTACAAGGCTCTTCTATAGTGGCCACCTATCACAACCACAGATTTTTGTTTTATTGATAATGGTGAGCCCAACGCAGTGCTGTTCAAGAGAAACATAACGCAACCCACACATATAACTTTCTATTTTCTAGTAGCCACATTAAACAAGCAAAATAAACAAAATTAATTTTAATAATACATTTAATTTAACCTAATTTAGTCAAAATATCATTTCTTCATAACCAATATAAAAATTATTAATGAGACATTTTACTTTTTTTCCCATACTAAATCTTCAAGACCTGGTACATCTCAACTTAGGCTAGTCACATTTCAAGCTGTCAGTAGTCACAATGGCCAGGGGCAACCAACCGCACCAGACAGTACAGGCCTGAAGACTCTATTCCAGACCTTCACTTTGGCAAGGTTTCAAAGTGAGTCAAATGCATATGGAGATTTTATTCATCTATTTTCCTGCTCCCAGTAACCCATCATTACTCCATTCATGATATCATTTTAGTATAAATACTAATGTAATAATAGCAAATACTTATATAGCACTTACTGTGTGCCAGGAACTATTCTCAGCATGTTCCTATGTTACCTCAACTAATCCTCACAGTAGCTTCACGAGGTAAGCATATTCTATCATTCCCATTTTGTAACAAGGAAACTGAGGCACACAGAGGTTAAGTAACTTACTATATATGTGAGACAGTGACAGAGCTGGGATTCTAACCCACATAGCCTGCCCCCTGAGCCGAGGTCCTTAGTCACTACACTCTCAATTAAATTTGTACGGCTCAAGAGAATTGCTTTCCGTTTTAATAACAACCTCCGAGTGATCCGAGGTTGCTTTAATGCAGATGGAAGAGCAGATGCGCTAGCAAGTTAACTTCAAAACAATGTGGGGTAAGAGCACAAAAACCATAAGCAGGCCTAACGTCAAAAGATGGCAGTGGGTGCCTGCTTGGGTGCCCAAGGTGGGGTGCAGGGGGAAGTAAATGTGGGGTCTCTGCAACACATTGAATTCAAGATATTTCTGAGAGAAGGATCTGTTACTTTCATCTGATTCTCAAAGGGGTCTGTGAGAGAGCCATCTCTCTAGCCATCTTTGCGGGGTAGGAAGTAGTAGTAAGAGGAACAATCAGGTAGAAAGGAATCAAGAAAGCACATAAAATGATAGAAATCAGATCCACACATGCGAACCTCCTATCCAAATGCTGGGGAAGGAGGCTGGTCAGTGACAGTGATCAAGAGGCCCCAGGCTGAGGCCAGTGAGGAACCTTGAACTTGCTCAAGGTTCTTCAGGGCTTCCTCTAGGTTTTAGGATCAAGTGCAAGTTGCTTATCCCAGTCGTCAAAGCCCCAGTGATCTCAGGCCTGCCTCCCTGCCTGGGCGCTCTCTTCTAGGCATCTTGTCCTTTACCCCCACAGACCTGTTCACAGGCCCCTAAGAGCCCCACACTCTCTCACTCCTCTACGCCTCTGCAGATTCTATTCTTTCTATCAAACATGTCCTTTCCCTAAAATAATTAGCCTGTCTTCAGATCTCAGTTCAAAAGTCACCTCCTCTGGGAAGCCTTTGTGAACTCCCTTGGCTGGTTTAGGGACAACTTCTCTGAAGTAATAGTAGTATTCATTCAATTCAATTGATAATTATGTACTACTACTACTACTAATGCTACTGATAACAAAGGCTGATTTTTATGGAGCTATGGTAGAGTTCCCAGTACTTTGTGTGCCTTTTTAGTCCACTTAATAAGCATATGAGGGAAGTTCTTTTATTACCCCATTTAACAGGTGAGCAAACTGAGGTACAGATATTAGCAGCCTAAGGTCACACAACTTATAAATTACAGAGCCCGATTATGAACCTAGGCAATCTGGTCCCAGAGCCTGCACTCTTAACGGCCACACCATACCTACCTCCCACTGCCTTCTACTCTCATTTTCACTGTATTTCCCTCTGTTACTGCAAGTGGTTTCTGTTTCGGTTTTTTGTTTACCACTTTGTTTACCACTCTCTGCCCACTTGTTTCCAGAATCTCTGAAAGTTGAGACTATGTCTAACTCACCTTTGCCTTTCAGAGACCCAGCAAGGTGCTCAGTACATAGTAGATGCCCAGTAAAGGCACATATAGGAAAATGCTGGAACAATACTGAAAGGATGGGGACAGGGCTATAAACTTGTGCCTGATGAAACCCACTGGGATAAAGAGTCTCTGAATATGCAATTTCACAAAGCAAGCTTTAACTTCATCTTCTAAATCCAGCCAGTACCTGTTCACTACTAGAGGAAGCAAACACAACTCAGAGCTTGGCCAACTTGATCATATCTCCAGCTAGTACATCAGCTTCATTTAACTTTGTACATGGATCAATGGATCTAAGTAATAACATGCCTTCTGAAAGCCTTGCTGGCTATTATAAAGGAATGCTAGAAAGATACATTCCTTTAAAAAAGAGCAAAAATTAAAAAAAAGTCTACAGACCCTGTTTTCTAAGGTTTTGTTGGTTTCAAATAACTCTGAGCATATTCCAAATGCTTTAAAAACAAAACAAAACACAATCTCATATTGAAAAATCTCCTTCTGCTGTCCAGACATGACTTTGCCATTCACTACACTGCAGTTCCGTAATATGTTTCTTTCCATTACTATCTAAACTCCCCTTGGATGAACATAGAATGTGACCTTGTAGGAGGATACTCTCTTCTTTCTCTAACAGTGGGAAAGACAAAAGTTTCAAGATCTGGGACATACACAGAGCTCTGGGGAGAAAAAGAGCTCTTTCTAGCTCACATCAGAGATTACATCAGGGCTGTGGACCAGCCCACCCACCAACATATAAATGCAATTATCCATAATGTCCACCCTTCCTACTGCATCCAGAGTGCAAAAGAAACCATCAATTTCCCATGCATATGGATGTCAGCATCACCTCAGCTATTAGCAACCAAGTTATAAATCATATTTTGACTCTGGCTATCTCATCTCCTTCCACAATAAACTTTAAATTAATTGTTACTGAGAGAGGTTTACTGAGTGCAAATTGTGGGCTGGGCAGAGTTGTAGCTGTTAGAGGGGCAGTAGTGAAGGAGGTAAACAAGGTTCCTGATAGAGGGGACCTCCTGTTGTAATGGGAGATAGGAAATAAGTACACAAAGAAGTAAGAGAACTTCAAACAGTGATACGTCTACAAATGTTCCCATAGAAGCAGGGAGTGACAGGACCTACTGAAGTGTTTAACAGTGTCTCTTTGGTAGCTGTATGGAGGAGTCTGGAAGAGGCAACGGTGGATGAATGAATCAATGGCGACCAATTTTGAGGCCATTCAATTGCTCACGTGAGATATGATGATACTTGGTTCACCAGCAGGGACGGAGAAAAGTGGATGGAGTCAGCATAGGTTCTGGAGGTGAAACAATCAGGACCTGCTGATAAGTAGATGTGGAAGATGAGGGAGAGGAAGGGGGCAACACCTAGGTTTTGGATTGAGCAACTAGGCCAGTGATGACTTTGCTGTGGGAGAAACAGGTTGGGAGAGGAAAGAGAATAAAGAATTCTGATTTAACTTTGTTAACTTTCAGACATCCAAGTAGGAATGTCAAGAAAATACTGAAAAGTGTTGAACCGTGCTGTCCAGTACAGTTACCACGAGCACACATGAGAATTTCAATTTAAATTAAATGTAATTAAAAACTCATTCCCCCAGTTGCATGAGTCACATTTCAAATGATCAAGTAGACACAGAAGGGCTACTCTACTGGATAGCATGAGTATAGAATATTTCTATCCCCATAAAAAAGTCTATTAGGCAGGACTTGTCTAGAACATAAATAAGTTGCTAGACTCCTTTCATTACTATAAATTTTATTGCAATTATAAAATATAAAACTACAGTAGTCCCCCCCCTTTATATGCAGGGGATACATCCCAACACTTCCAGTAGATGCTTGAAATTGTGCATAGTACTGAACCCTATACATACTGTGTTTTTTTCCATACACACACACACACACACACACACACACGACAAAGTTTAATTTATAAATTTGGCACAGTAAGAAATTATCAACAATGGCTAATAATAAAATAGAACAATTATAACATCTTATAATAAAAGTAATGTGAATGTGGCCCCCGTCTCTCAAATAGCTTATTGTACTATCCTCAGCCCTCCTTCTTATGATGTGAGATAAAATATCTATGTGATGATATGAAGTGAGGTCAGTGAGACATTATTAAGTAAAAATACTTAAGAGTTACTTGAAGCACTGCAATATTGAGACCATTGATCTGATACCTGAGAGGGCTGCTCAGTAACCAGCGGAATGGGAGTATACAACATAGATATGCTGGACAAAGGGGTGATTCATGTCCCAAGTGGGACAGAGCGGGGCAGTGCAAGATTTCACCACATTATTCAGAACAGAGTGCAATTTAAAACTTATGAATTGTTTATTTCTCGGATTCTCCATTTAATATTTTCAGACTGAAGTGGACTGCAGGTAACAAAGCACAGAGAGTAAAACCATAGACAGGGGGACTCCTGTGTAGCCCCGGGCAATCTTTAGCTCCGAGTGGTGATTGGATTCCGA